GAACAAACACAGACACGACATTTTATAGAGCCTGGCTCCCCTACCAAGGGCACCCCCCAAAAGCAGCACAGGAAGGAAGACAGGGACCCTAGACTTAAGGAATTCAGCTACCGAGTGAAGACTTTGGAAATGACATCTTCATATAGACAGTATTTGAAATAACAAACTCAAATCAAAGAACTGAACACATGTAGCTCACGCCTGAACCATTGGTACTTCTGCTTACACTGTACTTGGCAAATATTAGCCCCATGTACAGATGGGTAGCAATCAGGGAGAAACCACGGGGGAGCCGTCTGTAGAAGCAGCAAATATCATAGCAAGAGAGAAATGCAAGCAAAGGTCAGTGCAGAACATGACAGAAGGAATCTCCTGAGCAATGGGGGCGGTGGGTTGGGGAGAAAAGGATCTTACTTTAAAAAAAAAAAAAAAACAAGTTCAAGGAAGAGGTACAAGTACAGGTTCAGGAAGAATACTAAAACAGAAGATATGACAAAAGGCTGTTAAATACTATGGAGATGAAATGCCATTTGGGGAACAAAAAATAATAATAAAAAAATGTTCAATGGGCAAGTACATTAAGTGGAATTCATGTACTTAAGGGCCACAGATACAGAAAATTAAGGAAAAAAGTTATATGTATTTTCACACTTCCTGAGAAAGAGAACAAAAGCTATACTTAAATATAATTTTAAAATCTTTTGACATAAAAATTGACAAAAACAATGATATAATCGATGAAGCTACCAAGTTGTTAGGATAATTTTTTAAAAACAGTACCGGACACAGAAGCAAACAAGAGTAAGGGGACAGCAGGGGCTGCTTGGACCTTCAGAGGCACCAGAGGCCAGAGCATGTGGCCACGTGTCCACCCTTCTGAGGGAATGTCAAGACTAACCAGCTCTGGTAACAGCGAAGAACAGAAAGCAAATGCTAACAATGTTTCTTTAAAGAACAGTAAAACAAGAAGGGAGAAAGGGGCATTTAGAAGTGTCATTAATTTTCCCATCTTTCATAGCAAAAAGTTAAAAAAAAAATGCTGATTCACTCAGTCATTTTAAAACAAAGTTACCAGAACTCAAAAGATTCTCTCTCTCAGTTCTTAGAGTCTCACTAAGGTAAAAGGACATTAATGCAAAATTGGTAATTTCTTCAGTTTTAAATTCAATTTTTAGTTCTTCCACTGCACTAGAAGAAACTGAAAAAAAAATTTTCATTAGAAACACATATGGTCTTTCTTTTGAGGAAATACAAAGTGTAAATATGATCCTACTTTTATAAAAACATCTCTGAATACTTGTATTGATACACACAGAGCTGCTGCAAATGAAGTTCACTAAATGTTAACAGAAGGTGTGCAGAAGAGATGGGGTTTGCATGCTTCAAAGTTCTTAAAATGAGCAATGCATCATCTTCTCAAATAATAAAGATACTCTACTTCAATAATTCTATAATCTTTTTCACATCCCTGTATATCACTTTGTTCTCATTTCCAAGACAAGATAAATGAGTACCCAAAGTTGAAGTGATCTAAATCAGGATATTTTCATAAACACTCTTATGTACCTACTAGTTTATATCATTATCAAATCTACAGAACTTTTAATATAATTATATAAGCTTGGAAACAGGATGAATGCCACATGAAGTAAGAAATGCCAAGGAGTATTCAACAAATGCTTAAATAGCCAACCAACTCTACGGACAGGGGTCATATACCACATGTATCACAGACTCTGATCTTCTTAGGTGATTCCAATTCTGAAAATGTTTGCATTTGAGATGAAATCACAGAATGGCATGAATGTGACAGGATACTAATACCAATACCATGCTGTCCTTTAGGACCCACAGCTGTGTATCTTTTTCACAACTACATTCTTTTTGCTTTCACTGCCAAACAGCTTTTGAAATAATTCAGATAGGTGTCACAGTTCCATTTTGCAAATGAGAAAATTAAAATTCACAGAGGAGAAGTCATGGGCCCAAGATTACACAGACATAACTGTAGAGCCAAGACCTGACTTTTTCTAATTCTACATTCACTGCCCAGGCAGAGGCCCTGCCCAAGCATACAGAACGTGACACCACAATTCCCTCACGTGCACAGTGGCCTTCTGAGCACCTACAGCCATGTAGTTGAAAACTGAGGAAAGCTGGACTGCTACTGTTACCATCCCTCTATTCTGGACAAGGAGCTAGCCTTGGAGCTTCATGGAAAAGGAATTTAAAGTCATTACACTATGCATACCAATCACTAGGAAACAAGCCTTTATGTGTAGAATGAAAGCATGTTCAGAAAAGCTTGGAATTGCCCTCTTGGTTTCCAAATGCAAAAAGTAAAAGTCACCCTACTGCTGATGCTGAGTGGCTTAAGCAGCTGTTCATCAGATATAGTCACAGAGCAAAAGTCTTAATGTGAACTCTGATAAGCTGGTCTAATGTATATGCATGTGTATGCTTTGAACATCTGCTGTAAGCCAGCTGCTGAGAATCACTGAGTGAATACATAAAATGGCTGGAAAATCAGGAAGTAAAGCGAGCAGCCAGGTCCCCACACCCAAACCACCACATTCACAAGTAACTGCTGAAATACAGTAAGGAGTATATATCCCGGGGTTTAAGCTGATATTTATGAGCAGGAAATAATGAATGACTGACTGGAATATTTTCAGAATTTATTTCATGTTTTCTAATGGCACACAGTAAAGAGAAAAATTCAAGTGCCATGAAATTGAGTAAAGAAAGAACTTTATGTGAATGTATGATTTTTAATAAAAGGGCAGATGAAGACTACTCTTGGAAGTAAGAGTCATGGACACGACAGAAATTTTATAAATCCCAAGTAGGCTATTTACATTTTAGAAACTAAGCAGAAAGGCACAACATGATACTCTGTGTCTCTTGGCAAGATTTTATCACCACTGGCAAACTGGAAATGCACAGAACAGTTTTAAGAGCCATATTCAAATCCCTTTTCACTTCTGAAGGCTGTGTCACACTGCTTTCACTGATGACATTTTTCTTAACATCTTAATAGTGACAAGGTCAATAGACTTAAAATACAGAAAACATAAATTTTCAAAATCTGCAATTTTCTTCCTGAATCAGACTTTGTTAAAACTAACAGCAGCTGACTGAAGCAGACTTAAAAACAAGCACCAACATATTTTCTGTTCTTAGGGATCTCTATGTATATATAACTAAAAATATGGACTGAAACTATGAAAAAATAGCAAGAAAGAAAACAATCCAATGGGACAAATACATTACATGAAATACCAACCGCTCCATCCCTTATAAAGACTTTTGAACTCATGAATGATGGACTATGAGGCAGGATCGTTTAGAATGAATCACATATATTATAGACAAAATGAAATGAAAATATTTTCAGTTTATCCTCAGGCTAAGTAGTAACATGATGATTCTCTCTGCCAACATCTTCAGTTGTCATCAAAAACTCAGGAAACAATGACATGACCAACATTTATAAATTTACAATTTAACTGTGATTCATTTAAACATAAAAATTGAATGACAGTTGAATGAAAACAGCATAATACTGTCTCAACATCATGCATAAGGAGAGAGCTAAGGAAACTTTGCATGATAGGGTCTAAAGAACATTTCTATGTTTATAGAAAGATGAAGGAAAAATTTTTACATTTTCTAGGTGTGTCCCACTAGTCTTAAGGAGTACATAATTCAACTTCATCACAGTATAAACCGAATTATCAATGATGTGTTTGGGCCAGCTCATCTTCAGCTAGTGAAAACCAATTGTTAATTTTAAGGAATCTTGTAAGCCCATTGGCAAACCACTGAAGTTACCACCAGTAGGGATATTTACACCACAGGAATCGACAAACACCACACATAAAACTATCATTTCCCATTCTTCAAACAGCCCGTCAGTTTACCAGCACATCAATGGCCCACACACAAAAAAGCACATGGTACATGAGCCCTCACAAAACAGGTGCACCCACAGAGACAATACCAAGGTCATGTAAAAAGGACATTTTTGATACCCTCACAAGTTTCCCTTGTACCATCTGAATCAATACTTCCTGTCTGAAAACTTCGCAGATACAAACACTACAAAGGAAAATTTTATCAGTGAACTTGGAAGAGAAGATTTTAAGTGGAAAATCATTTGTAAGTATCCATGAAAGTGGGCTGACAGAAAAAGACATAGCATGACATACATTTATTTTTCAAAAGCACTAAGAATAATAAGGGAAGGAAAACATGAAATTATATGTGTTATGCAACCATATGAAGAGTTATGAGGCACAGACCTCTATGCCAGATCTGTTCAGTATAAAAGCTTTATTTATGAAATGGAAATAGTTTAATATAATGTAATTTCCTTGGTTTTACCTATGACTCTTATATTAAAACCAGTAAGAAATGTAAGAAAAACTCAAATAACTACCACAAATAAAGCAATGCCCAGTATTTCCCGATAGTCAAAATTCGCAGGGTTTTTCCCTCCTTTAAGTCTCACTGTATTTGTCTGTAGGAAACTAAAGTTAAAACCTTCCATCATGATCCCACTTCTCCAAGGAAGACAAAGGCTTCAGGGGCAAAGAACGCAGCAACACTGCACCAGCACAGTGGTGGTTTTAGGATTAGGCTCATAGAAACTAATGTACATTAAACAAAATCTGACCTCCTTTTGGGGGGTCTTTTGATCCCAGTGATCAGTGGTTTTCCATATTTTAATATTCCTTTGAAAGTTGATGCTTAAAATACCACCTTGAGATCCGGGAAAGAAAGACAGCTACACGTGTACAAAAACAGATGGCTTCCTTACAAATGTCTATGTTTAAGGGGTTAAAAAGAAAAATTATATTTTACAGATAAATGTGTGTGTACAGTATTGACCTTTATCTCATTCAGTCAAACAAGGAAATGCTCTCATGGAAATAACTGTCCAAATACAATGCTCAAAATAATATTTTCGATGCAATTATACAACTTGATTAACCGACCTTTATTGTTTTCCTCTTCATATGGATATTCATTCATCCATTTGTTTCTAGAGTCACATTGATCCTGCAAGAAATGCACAGAGGAAGATACGGTGAGAAGAAGTTCTAAAATCTGATACTATTCCTCTACAACAGAAAGAAAAAAAATACATTTAAATCCTAGTCACTTAAGCTAGTGGTTATGGAAGGACACATGAATACCAGAGTTGAGGGAGTCTCTGAGTTTTTTGTTTTTGTTTTGTTTTTCAACAATGGCAAAGTGGAGGGGGAAAAGGAAGCAAGGAGGAGAAGCAGCTCTAACAGGATGACAATATCTAGAGCACAAGGTGATAAAGTCCTAGATAAAGTCCAGGGAGGGAATAAAGAATAGGATGCAACAGCGACAGAGAGAAGGCTGAGAAGAAAATGCCAGAACCTGGCTTATGTGTGAATTTACTACACGAAAGAGAATTCACAGACACTCAAGTTGGAGCACTTCACTCCATTACTCTTAGCAACTAGCAAATGTTTAAAAAACTGTTGATTTACTAAGGAAATGATCCTTTTTCTCTTCACAATCAATACGGATGTGCAGAATTAATAATGAATACATTTGGGTGGCTCCATATTGGCCAATATCCAGTAACTTTTTAAAAACCGTCTTAAGTTCACATACATCACTTCTTAAAAATTAAAGTAAATATTTACGTGGCTCATAAAAGGTCCCCAATCTCCAAGTCCACTTGGATTTCACCAAATGTAATTAAATATTACTGAGCTGGACTATTCTGATTACAACAAACCACTTGCCCCATTTGGACATATCTTACAAGTCCTCCTATTTACTTGCTCAGCATTATGTAACTTGCTTCAGAATTTCCATTTCATGAGGCAAATTTTCTTTGGCATTCAGTTGAGCTGGCTTATTAGGCACAGTTGCCTTTTTTTTTTGGTTTGGAATTACACTCAAGAGGGGACACGCCTTGGAATTCTTCACAGCACCTATTCAGTGCCAACGTCTGCGTACTGCAGCGAAAGGCCTGGTTTCCTGTGTATGTGTTTCCATACATTTGGACAGAACAAGGACTCACTGACTCAAAAGGCCTTAGGTGAAGTGCAGCAGAGTTCACATGTTCCATACGCTCTGCCTGTGAAGCAATCTGGCCTTTAATTTTATTGGAGTTTTAAATCAACCTCTCCCACCCAATCCACCTCAAAACATATCCCCTAAGATGTACTGTAGCTTTTATTAGAAATGCTGCTTAAAAAGCAACACAGAATCTTAATATTACAATGAAGAGAAATCCCTTGTAACTGAATATAATTCTTCTATTCTAGATTGTGAAACCACAATAAGAGTTTCTTTTGAAATACTTCATTTAGGTACTCTGTTCTCAAAACACTTCTTGTCCCTTCTAGACTTAAATTGTCAAGGGTCAGGAACTGATCTAGCCCAATCAGTTCCAGCTTCTTAAGAAAATGGATGGGGTACTTCAAAAATGGCTTCCATTTTACTTTCTGGCTCATTACATTTCAAAATGGGATTCTGTAAATATTTTTTCATATTTTAGTATGCAGCCAGCCCTACATATCCACAGGTTCCACAATCACTGATTCAATCAACCACAAATTGAACATATTCAAACAAATTGCACATGTACTAAATATGTACAGAGTTTTTTTTCTTGCCATTTTCCCCTAAACAATGCAGCATAACATATTTACATGGTATTAGTGATTCTAAGTACTCTAGAGGTTACTTATTTAAACTACATAGGAGGATATGTGTAGGTTAGATGCAATTATTATGAAATCTTATTTTATATAAAATTCTTGGGCATTTTCAGATTTGGTATTCACAGGGGTTTCCTGAGACCAGTCCCCTCTTGGATACCAAGGAATAACTGGTACCATGATTATTTTCCCATGATTTTAAATGCATTAATGCTTTATCCAAAATTCTAAATAAACTATTGTAGAAACTGTAATTTCCATGTAAAATTGTATGATTTTTATTAACACTTAAATATCCATCCATGTAAATCTTGTATGAACCTAGTCTTGATGAATCCTTTGTACAACCAAAGAAGACGCCTTCAGACATACATGAATACTGATTAGGAGAGGGAACAGGCCAGGGAGGCTCACTATAGATCCCAGCCACCTCTCACTCGGCCAGATACCCTCACATCCCATGCCCCAATGCATATTCTTACTGGGAGAAGAAGTGTGGGCCACCACAGTGCCATTCTTGTCTTTCACAATACACAGCGGAGAGCCTAGCAAATTTTAGGAGACCAATAAATGTTGGAGAATGAATGAAAGTAATAATGAAAAAGAGAAGAAAGATCAGAGAAAACTCACTTTGACATTAATTATGAGAATATATTTCACCCAGGGAATTTAGGCTGTAATGATATAATCAGTATTTTTAGGTACAATCTGCAGGCTAAAACAAACAGTAGATTATGTTAACTATACATAGCACAATATCACACATTACAGCATCACAATATTACAGCATTTTAGGCTTCAAAAAAATATCCTAATGTGATCATTTTTTCTAAAAGGCAGTTTTGAGAATTGAGAACATGAACTACTTCAAGATCTCCTTGACAATGATGAAACTGATCAGAGGTATATTTTGTACCCAATATGACAAATTAGATTATGTCAGGGTCCTTATGAAACTGCTATTTTTAGTTCAAAGTCTTAGTACATGGTCCTTTATGGTTTATTTTACCATCTACCCTTGCAGTCACCTACAGTTTAAATATATATGTCTATGTGTGTTAAAGCTGGGGCTAATTTTTTATTTTCATCCGATTTAGATTCCCAAAAGAATATTCAAAACCCTCTCTTGCTCTTTTACCTCCATGCCATACTTGATAGTGGCACAAATGAAGGTAAGAAAATGAAGACAGTTTTAAGACTAGGAACAGATCTCATCTCTATCATGTACTAGGTATGTGAGCCAAAAAAAGCTGAACATAACTAAGGCCAATATTCTTGTTCACAGAAGCAGGGATAGTCATAAGTGCTGCCTTGTCTCCTAGGCCTACCCCAATTGAAGTAGTATCTACATGGCAATCTGCAAAATCTTAAGCACCAAACACATTAAGAATTGTCACTTTAATGGTTGAGGAACTGAATAGGGAAAGAAAAAAATATTCCCTAAATGGAGTCCACATGATAGAACAGATGAATACCTAATTTTATTCATGCTAAGGGGCCTTTGGGTTATATCCCAAATCCCTATTGAAACCAAACCATAATATAAAATACGAAAATATTACCTTTCCCATACCAGTTAATATTCTCGTCAATTTTCCAGCTAAATATACTTAGCTTTGCCAAAAGGTTTTCTGAAATCACCCAGTGAATCTTCCCAAGACGCAGGCATTTTAAAGGCCAGTATCCTCACCAAAAATCTCATCATACATGGTTGCAGGTCTTGCTTTCCTGGCTTCAAATCATATTTAATTGTCCTTAGGTTAAGGAGAGCAAAGGATTAGTCTCTTATTTCAATATCAAAAACATGAGAAATAAAAAAGGTCTAAAGTTGCCTTTTACAAAAAGATTTTAATTTGGTTGTAAACAAAAGACTGCCACCTGGAGCCATGGGTAAATTCTCATGTTTTGGAGGAGAATAGAATAATTTCACTTACACCCATTTCTCTATGGTAGTTAGTTACAAACCATAGAGAATGATTTTCTAAGTACTTCACTTTTTTTTTCTTTCTTAAAATTTTTTTACATATGATCACCCAACTTCCTTTAGAATTCAAAGACAGTACAGCAGAAATGACCTTGGCCATATGAAAGTGGATGCTATCCACTTTAAAATATAAGGAGTTACTTTGGAGTAATTACCTCAAGAGCACAAACAGTCCATGAAGAATTTTACAGGACCAGGTCACTTGCTCTTCATCACATCCTAAATGATCTATTAGGTTCTCAACCTTTAAAGGTCAGTGTTTCATACATTTAAATACTTCAAGACCAAAAGTATACTTGTTGCCGGTTCCTCTAGAAGTCCCTTTATGTATCTTTAAATGGAGTTAGAGAAACATGTTTTAGATGTGTTTATAGACATGTGACTATTCAAGGTATTCCACTCTCTGCCCAAAGGTAATTTAGTTGTTCTATTTCAAGTAAATTGAATTCTGTTGCTGGTACAGAAATCCCATTTGGAATTCTCCCTCCTAGATTCAGGTTTACAAATCACTGCTTCATTAGTTGTGATCTTGTATTTTCCAGTACCGATACAAAGAAAAAAAAATCAGGTAATAGAGGTTAATATACAGGGCTGGGATTGTGGCTCAGAAGTAGGGCGCTTGCCTGGCATGCATGAGGCACTGGGTTCAATCCTCAGCACCATATAAAATAAAAAATAAAGATATTGTCTCCACCTATAACTAAAAAAATAAATATTTTTTTAAAAAGGCTAATATCCAAGTCAATTCAGTTACCACAGATTTCAAAGCAGATGAGAGAGTTGGGCGGGCAGGCTTTGTACATACATGTCTGGGATATTATATAACAGGTCCAAGTTTGCCTTGCTTTGAGTATCAAGGTTTCTACCAAGTAAGTTGATTTTTTTTTCTTCATTTAAAGCTATTTCTGTTTCATTTGTCTCAGTGAGTTATCTTGGGAACTAAAAATATTTGAAGGTTAATCTAAATATTTCTGAAAATAAATGCAAATCTAAGTGCTATGTTTTCACAGCTATTTTTACTTGAAATGAAGAGAAACTAAAGACACAAAGCAGAATGCTTGTTGCTAAGTGACAGGTGACCCTACTTTTGAACATGTATATCACATGTGGATTTCCACTAGACACGTGTCATTCTGTATAGAGAAGCAAACTAATGTTCAGACTTTTTTTTTAAATAGGCCATAGGTAATCAGCAAGTCCTGTTTATATGAATAGAGATGCCTCTCACAATAGGAAAGGCTTGTATTTATTTCCAATAAATATAATAACTTCAATGCAGATGATTTCCTGGACATATTTTATTTTTATTTTTTTTAAAGAGAGAGAATTTTTTAATATTTATTTTTCAGTTTTCGGCGGACACAACA